TGGGGGCGCGTGGTATCTGATTGAAACTTACAGAATACTGAAAAATCTGGGTAGAGTGGATACGGAGATGATGCATCCAGTAACTGGACAGACTAAGACCTGAGAGCAGCCTCAAAGAGAAGGGATGACCCTTTAAAACTGAGAATTTTTTTTCTATTCATTTGTGGGATGAGGAGGAATTTCTTTCAGTCACAGGGTGGTGAATCTGTAGACCTCATTGCCACAGAAGGCTGTGGAGGCCAAGTCACTGGGTGTATTTAAGACAGTTATTGATTACTAAGGGAATCAAGGGTTATGTGGAGAAGGCAAGAGAACGGGGTTGAGAATTAGGGGAGGCAGTGGCCTAGTGATATTATCGCTGAACTGTTAATCCAGAGACCCAGATATCATTCCCTGGAACTAGGTTCGAATCCTACCACAGCAGATGGTGGCATTTGAATTCAATAAATATCTGTAATTAAAAGTCTAAATGATGACTGTGAATCCATTGTCGATTGTTGGAAAAACCCACCCAGTTCACTAATGTTCTTTAGGGAAGGAAATTGCCATCCTTACCTGGTCTGGCCTACATGTGACGCCAGACCCACAACAATATTGTTGACTCTTAACTGCATGCTGGGCAATTAGGGAGGGGCAATAAATGCTGCCTAGCCAGCGATGCCGTCATCCTGTGAACAAATAAAGGAAGTAAAACATATCAGCCATGATCAAAGTGAAGGGCTAAATCGTTTATATAAACGATTTGGATGAGAATATAGGAGCCATGGTTTGCAGATGACACCAAAATTGGTTGTATGGTGGACAGTGAAGGTGGTTAAGATTACGAGTTCTTGATCAATTGGGTCAATGGGCTGAGGAGTGGCAGGTGGAGTTTAATTTGGATAAATGTGAGTTTGTTTTACTAAAATGCAATACAAGAGGAGGACTTATACAATTCACGGTAGGGCCTGGAGTAACGTTGCAGAACACAGAGGCCTAGGGGTTCAGGGAACTAAGGGGCGGCACTGTGGCTCAGTGGTTAGCATTGTTGCCTCACAGCGCTAGCGACCTGGGTTCAATTCCACCCTCGGGTGACCGTCTGTGTGGAGTTTGCACGTTCTCCCTGTGTTTGTGTGGGTTTCCTCCGGGTGCTCTGCTTTCCTCCCACAGTCTAAAGATGTGCAGATTAGGTGGATTAGCCATTCCGAATTGCCTGTAGTATTCAGGGATGTGTAGATTAGGGAGGTTACTGGGTGGGATGCTCCGAGGGTCGGTGTGGACTTGTTGGGCCAAAGGACCTATTTCCACACTGTGGGGATACTATGATGATGATATAATCTTTTGAAGCTTGCATTACAGGTAGACAGGGTGGTTAAGGCAGCATTTAGCACAATTGCCTTCATTGCTCAGACCTTCGAGTATAGGAGTTGGGATGTCATGTTGAGGTTGTACAGGATGTTTGTGAGGCCTCTTCTGGAGTACAGCATGCAGTTCTGGTCACCCTACTACAGGAAACATATTATGAAATTGGAGAGGGCTCAGAAAAGATTTACCAGGGATGTTGCCGGGAATGGACAGTTTGAGTTGTAAAAGTAGGCTGGCTAGACTGGAGAAGACTTTTTCTGAAGAAGGGTATAGGCCCAGAACGTCAGCCTTCCTGCTCCTCTGATGCTGCTTGGCCTGCTGTGTTCATCCAGCTCTACACCTTGTTATCTCTAAGGCTAGACTGGGACCTTTTCCACTGGAGCGTATGAGGTTGAGGGTGGCCTTATAGAGGGTTATTAAATCATGAGGGGCATAGATAAGGTGAATAGCAAAGGGTCTTTTCCCTAGGCTTGGGTGTTCAAAAATAGGTGGCATATTTTTAAGGTGAAGTGGAGAAATATTTAAAAAGAACACGATGGGCAACTTTTTTTTTAAAAACGCAAAGTGGTTTGTGTGTGAAATGAACAGCCTGAGAAAGTGGTGGATGCAGGCACAGTTACAACATTTAAAAGACATTTGGAAGTACATGAATAGGAAAGATTTGGAGGGATATGAACCAAACAAACACAGGTGTGTGGGACTAATTTAGTTTAGGAACATGGTTGATGTGGACTAGTTAGACCAATGGATCTACTTCCATGCTGTATGACTTTTTTTTTTATTCATTCACAGGATGACGGTGTCGCTGGCCAGGCAGCATTTACTGCCCATCCCTAATGGCCCAGAGGGCAGTTCAGAGTCAACCACATTGCTGTGGGCCACACCAGGTGAGGATGGTAGTTTCCTTCCCTAAAGGACATTAGTGAACCAGATGGGTTTTTCCTGACAATCGACAATGGATTCATGGTCATCATTAGATTCTTAATTCCAGATATTTTTTATTGAATTCAAATTCCACCATGGCCATCACCTCCCCGACTTTTAACCTGAAATAATCTTATTTTGTTTTCACATGGAGCATTGGAAGAGGTATATACTCTACATGATTTCAATTCCAATCCACAATCTGATTCTAGAAGGAGAAATCAAACATTATCATTCCTTTACTTTATGGTAGAATGTACCATCAATTCAGAAACTTCAGAAAAAAGTCAAGTAGGAAGGATTTAATATCTCAACATGTTTCAGTCAGCAGCTCAAAAATGAACTGAGGAGTCAAGAAAATATTACTTTGCAATCACCCATAAGGCTCTCTCAAAAATAAAATCAAAAGACTGTGGGTGCTGGAAATCTGAAATGAAAACAGAAAATGCTAGAGAAACTCAGCAGGTCTGGCAGCATTTGTGAAGACAGAAACAGAGTTAAAATTTTGAGTTTGATCTAACTCTTTTTTCACAGTTTTTTTTTAATAATATGCCATCAGACAAAAACATGACACATGCTGAGGTACCTCAATGTTTAAGTTGAGTCAATCTTCCAAACCTAAAGCAAGGTAGATGTTGAAAACATTGCAGATGTTGTGAGTATTCAGTTTTAACTTGTAGTTGTCAGGTTAACATATTATGGAAATTCTGAATATTCTGGCACATCATTATACAAGTTTGCCTCTTCTAAAGGTTCTTCAAGAGATAAACACAAACTCAAAGTAAAAATTACACTAAAAGCAAATCAGAAGTAGGTATGAAAGTACACAAAAGAAACAAAAACCATTGCAAAATTCACACCAATTTCTTAAATTGGAACAGATTATATATTTGCTTATCAATCTTTTGTTTCTATTTGGCCAAAGTGAATGAAAAAAAATGCTTGAATTGAAATGCTGAAGAAACTTGGGAACAGTAGAGAATTCAGAAAACACAATCTGTAAATAAGCTTTCCCTTCTTAGAAAATACAACATCCCAACTGAACTTGTATGTCAGATATTTGTCATTAACAAGTTAAGGCAGTTTTGTTCTGAGAATTCATGGTCAGCACGAACCTTCCTGAAACTGACAAAAGCTATTTCAAAAGCGACCTTCTTAGCTAGGTTCCATAAGTGAAAGACCAGCTTCTATTCACTGCACAGTTGCGATCCTTTAACCTTCAAAAAAATAATGGGCTGGACTTTGTAGTCAGTTGTGAAGGAACACTGTTCACTGTTCACCTGAAAAAAAAAGTTGCCCATCATCTTTTGCTGAGTTCTAGAGGATAGACTTTAATCTCTCTGATTAGTTCTGAAGAGTCACTAGGCTCAAAACATTAACTCTGCTTTCTCGCCCCAGGTGCTGCCAGTCCTGCTGAGTTTAGCCAGCAATTTGTTTCTGATCTCTAGCATCTGCAGTTCTTTGTTTTATTTTAGAGGATAAGCTTCCTGTTTTCTAGCTTCAGTTTAAATTTGGGGCACTTTGCAGGTTATCAGTGAAAATGGCAAGCAGCAGGGAGGTTGATCAACTGGTCAGATTGAGAAGACTTCGCAAACAGTAAAGGAAGCAAAAACCAAAAAATATAAATTACGTTTAAGCAATTGAGCAGAAAGTGAAAGGGAAAACTGAGCCATATAAATGGGATTACGGGAGAAAATTATTGAAAGTGTACAAGCTTTAAGCAAGGACATAAAAAAATCCAATAATTAATTTCCCTCTGAAGGAATGAGTCTCCATATTTCAAACTAATACTTCAGGATGAGACAGGTTGTTCAGCATTAATTCTGACATACCTTGCAGTTTAAAAAAAAGTTACTGATCGAACTGCCTAAAGTTTTCGAACTTCCTCAGTGCAATAAAAAGTAGACAATTATCAGCTCATACCATGTTTGAAATCCCTTTGATGAGTCCATTGGCAAAGACAGCAACATGGCAGCCTGTGACAGAGCATGGTATCAAATGACAGCAACTTCCAGGTTTCTACCTTTAACTGTGCATGTGCAGAGACCAGAAGCTGCCATCTGTTTTACCCAGTAGTAACTCATCAACTCATGTTATTACTGCGGCAAATTCCAGACTCAAGTTGAAAAGAGAAATGCTATTCTTAAGATTTCCAGTAATTTTTGCTCACTTGAGTTCACAAAATTCATTAATTTGGTTTAAGTGAATAACTCAATTCCATTCAGCAGCAAGGCAAAAGAAGCAAATGTAAGAACAGTTCATTAAAAATTTCTAAAGGATTATAATGAAAGACAAAATATAATAACCACTATTTAAGATTTAACAGCTCTAAAATATTGAACAAGTGCTAGATTCTGCCCTCTCATTCAGTATGATCAGGATCATGTTTTAACAACAGTAGATTTTGTTGACTCTACCTAGGTATATGTGACAATAATAAATCAAATTAAAAAAACAATTATACAAAGCTGAATTCATTACAAAACATTTGAAAGTTGACTGCCTCTGATCTAGAAACCCAAATTTTACCTTAGAACAATTATATATTTATTGAAAACACCAGTTTCAGTTAGCAATCCATTTAGAGCAGAGGAACATTTTTTAAAAATGAAAAAAAAAATCACAGAAATTATATATTTTCTTATGATCCATCCCCCCCAAAAAAAATGCAACTTAACCTTCAAACTGCAGCTCAGTAATTAAGAAAATTCATTCACTGTTATCTTGAGAAATACAAAAATGTTCTTTCCCCAAAGTTACAAAAATTCTTTTATATAGACCATAACTGCAGTAATTTCAGTCTTCCCAACAGATACACATACAAGTGGATTCCCACGATTACATTGTCATCCCACTGATCATACCAACATATTCTATTAACATTGTTGGACATTCAAATATAGTTATTGTCAAAGTTTTTTGAAGAGAGGAAAGCAGGTGCATGTATGGAAAATGTTTGGTGTTCTAACATTGAAGTTTTGTTCATCCTGTATTCAATCTACATTGGATTCTAGTCCATAAATGCCTCCATTTTAGAATTCTTATCCTATATTCAAATCCCTCCATAGCCTCATACCTCTTACGACTGTCACTTCTTCCAGCCCAACACCCTTAGCAGCTTCTGAATTTAAACACCTGAATTTATATAATGGGGCCTTTAGCATACATATATATATACACATACATATGTATTCTCCCCATCCAGAAAGGAAGATGGTAAAAAGGAAGTCACTAGTTAACTAAGCAAGCTCAGAATGGCATAAAAGTGAAAGAAAAGGCATTAAATGCTGAGAAAATTAGTTTTAGGTTCAAAGATTGCAATAATGTAAGAAACAATAAAGATATCTTAAAGACACAAAATTATAATGAGAATGAACAAGTAAGAAATGTACAAACAAATAAGAACTTCCACAAGTACTAAAGCAATTAACCGATATAAATGTCATCCCCTTAGATGAGGAGATTAGAGAATGGATAATGGCAAACAGGAATGAGAGATTTGAATAAGCATTTTGTCTTCATGGAAGAAGACACTAAAGCATCCCAATAATAGTGGGAAATCAAAGACAGAAGGGCAGGAAGAACTTAAATTAATCACCATGCCAAAAAAATGAGTAAATCAATGGGAAGAAAGGTCAACTAGTTCCCCACACTTGACGGTTTACATTTCAGGAAGATGTCATTGCGGAGTTGGAAAGAGGTTAATCTACTGTCTGTCACTGGGAAAAGCTGGAAACAGTGCAAGGACTAACAGGTTCAAGTCAGAATACAGCAAAATGGATTCCAAGTTGAAGATGGTATTTGGGTAGCTAATCAAAGGCGTAGAAGGATCTTAAAAGTGAACAGAAGGTTGAAGGGGTTTTAGTGACAACATTCCACAGAATAACAATATTCATACGGCATGCCAGGCAATATCACTAAATTTCCATTCTAAACCTTTGGGGCAATGGGGGATCAAGTTTGAACAACTGATCAGATATGTTACTGGATAGCCAAGTGAATACTGTGGCTTCAGGAACAAGTCAGAGGCTAGGAATCCTACAATGAGTAACTCACCTCCTGACTTCACAAGTCTGTGCACCATCCACAAGGCAAATGTCAGGCGTATGATAGAATGCTTTCCAAATGCCTGGATGAGTGCTGCTCCAACATCCACGAGAAAGCAACCCTTTGAATAAGACTCAATCCACCACCATAACCATTCACTACCTCAACCACTGACACACAGTCAGCTGTGTACAATATTTGCAAGATGCACTGCAACAACTCTGAGGTTTTTATATACATGCTTTCTGCTTCCTTGCTTGTAAACATTTGTTTGAAAAGCTACAACACATTAAATTGAAAAAAAATGTCATTTCAGATTTAGTATAAAGGCAAAAGCATAATGAATTTCTGTAAAGATTTTCCAGAATTTAGCTCCAAAATTCACACAAATTTAATACTTAAAATTTTATTAACACAGTATCTAGTTTGTGCATATAGTATATTGCTTGCATAAGTTAGTCAAATATCTTCTGTTAACTCATTTCAAAGTTTTAAGATCCTAGTTATAAGCCTACTATCAGAATAAAGTCAAAATATCTTACCAAGGCTAGTCTGAGAGTTTGGATTTACATACAGATCCTTACTCCATTCCACCATACACTTCAAAATTGAGACCAAGCACTCCAAGCCCTTCTTCCTAAGACTGAGCTCCTTAAAAGAAAAAAAGCTGGAGGTTTATCAAATTCTGAAAGTGAGTAAATCAAGGCTTACATGATAATTCAACAGAGTTGATGGGGACATAGATACTTCAGAGTGCCATAATGCATTAATTAAAAGGAATTCTTTTCCATATAGCAATGAATGGTTCCCTCATTTATGCATCTTTGGTTGTGATATTAAAGGTACTTTTTTACATTTTACATTGAATGCACTAGAAATCTCCTCATACAATTTCTAATTAGTTATAGTCAGTGAAAAAGAACTCCACAAAATTATTTACAGTCTATTGATCAGATGGGCTAAACAGTAGCAACTGGAATTTAATCCTGAAAAGTCAGACATCATGCGTTCCCAGAGGACCAAAGGGCAAGGCAGCACATATCGCAAGGCAGGACTGTTAGGAAGTAGAGAAGGACCTTGGCGTGCATGTCCATAGATTCTTCAAGGCAGCAGGATAGGTAAATAAAGTGATTACAAAGGCATACGGGACACTTGCCTTCATTAGTCAAGGTACTGAATGCAAGAAGATAGAAGTTATTGTGGAGCTGTATATAATGTGAGATAAGTCAGCTTTTGTCACTATTGGAAGGACAGGATTGTACTAGAGAAGGTGCAGAGGAGATTCACTAGGACGTTGCCTGGGCTGGAGAGATTTGGCTATGAAAAGCAATTGGATAGGGTTGAGTTGATTTTGTTACAGCAAAGAAGGTTGAGGGAACCAGACTGAGGTGTACAAAGTTATGAAGGTCATAGATAGGGAAGATGGGGGAACCTTTCCTCTTAGTAGAGGGATCAGTAACCAGGGAGCACAAGTTAAGGTAATGAGCAGGAGGTTTGGAGGGGATCAGAGGGGGGAAAGAAAAACTTTTCACCCACAAGGTGGTGATATCTATAATTCACTAGCTAACAGGATGTTAGAGGCAGGAATCCTCAAGTTATTTAAATAGTATTTTATATGTGTACTTGAAACATCATAGCATTCAAGGCTACAGGCCAAGTGCTCAAAAATGGGATTAAAATAGCTTGGTGATTTATGAATGGCAGGGCCACAATGGACCATTGGGCCATTTTCCAAAGCTGTAAAAATTCTGACTTTATGGCTCTAATACTAAATGGGGCCAGTTAGCTCAGTTGGCTGAACAGCTGATTTGTAATGCAGTGATGCTAATAACGTGGGTTCAATTCCTGCATCGGTTGAGGTTGCCCTTAAGGACTCTCCTTCAACTTCTCCCCTTGCCTGAGGCATGGTGATTTTCAAGTTAAACCACTACCAGATGTCCCTCTCCCTAAAGGCAGCACAATGCTGTGGTCCTCTGGGAGTATGGTGAGTTTACCTTTACCTTAATGAAACCATTTCATCAAATTGTTAACCTGATCGACTTTATAGAAATAAACACAGTAATTAACTGGGGAAAAATGTTACCATGCTATCCTTCGCTTATTCCATCAGATTTTCTACCAGTTCTGCATTGGTTCTTAAGTTAAGTTCCTCAGTTGGGGAGAAGGATTTGCTTCCAGTGAAGAGGCTTTCTACTGGCACATCTGCATCTGCCGTACTGAATATGGAACATGATCACCAGGAGATTCAGGTGATCAATATGCCTTTATTCATTATAGCAGACTGCTGTTATGTATACAGCTTCATATTTAACATCTAACAAACTGAAAGAGAAAGCTTACAAATTCAAAGCTGATTCAGTGTTGAGACTTGCAGTAAAACTTCTACATCACATATAGACAGGGTGGATAAAGAGGCATTTGGCACACTTGTCTTCATTGCTCAGTACTTTGAATATAGGAGTTGAGATGTCATATTGAGGTGTACAGGACATTGGTGAGGCCTCTTCTGGAATACTGTGTCTAGTTCTGGTCGCCCAGTCAAAAGAGAGGGTTCAGAACAGATTTACCAGGACGTTGCCGGGTTATAAAGAAATGCTGGATAGGCTGGGACCTTTTTTCCCACTGGAGCGTAGGAGGTTGAGAGGTGACGGCATGGAAGTTTATAAAATAATGAGTGGTATAGATAGAGCCAGTGGTAGTTGTCTTTTCCTAGAATGTGAAATTTCAAGACAGAATAGTGAAGGCGGTGTTTGGTATGCTTGCCTTTATTAGTCAGTGCATTGAGTATCGGAGTTGAGGGGTCATGTTGCAGCTGTACACGACATTGGTTAGGCCATTTTTGGAATACTGCATGCAATTTGGGTCTCCCTGCTATAGGAAAGATGCTGTAAAACTTGAAAGGATTCAGAAAAGGATGTTGCCAGGTTTGGAGGGGTTGAGCTATAAGGAGAGGTTAAATAGGCTGGGGCTATTTTCCCTGGAGTGTCGGAGGCTGAGGGAATGACCTGATATAGGTTTATAAAATCGTGAGGGGCATAGATAGGGTAAATTGACAAGGACTTTTATCTGGGGTGGGGGAATCCAGAACTACAGGGCATCGATTTAAGGTGAGAAGGGAAAAATTTTAAAGGGACCTGCAAGGCAACTTTCTCACGGAGGGTGGTGTGTGTAAGGAATGAACTGCCAGAGGAAGTTGTGGAGGCTGGTACAACTACAACATTTAAAAGGCATCTGGATGGGTATATGAATAGGAAAGTTCAGAGGTATACGGGCCAAATACTGGCAAATGGAACTAGATTTATTTAGGATATCTGGTTGGCATGGATGAGTTGGACTGAAGGGTCTGTTGCCATGCTGTACAGCTCTATGACTCTTATGACCAGAGGGCACATTTCGAAGGCGAGAGGTGAAAGATTTAAAACAGATATGATGGGCAATTTTTTTTTTTTTTTTTTTTTTTTAAAAACACAGACGGTGGCTCGTATGTTGAATGAATTTCCTGAGGAAGTGGTGGATGTGGGTACGATTACAATGTTTAAAAGACATTTCAACAAGTACATGGATAGGAAAGGTTTGGAGGGATATGGGCCAGGGGCAGGCAGGTAGGGGTAGTTTAGTTTGGGATTATGGTCAGCATGGACTGGTTGGACCGAAGGGTCTGTTTCCGTACTGTATGACTCTGACCCTACCCAAGACTCTCATATTTGGGCCCCAAGCTGCCCAAGAGTCAATTTAAAAATAATCTTCAAGGATATTTTAGGCACAATGGCTGATGCATCCTTGGAAGAAACAAGAACTTGCTTTTAAAAAGCCTGCTGGAAGTAGCATCATAGATCTAGCTAGAATAGACAGTCATGCCCTATTTCTCTATGTGCCAAAAGAACTACCAGTTTTTGATTGCAAGATTGACAATCTTGTCAAATTCAGGCAGTTTGGAACTACACCAACTGAGTTTCCACCACAATGAAACTCAGTTGGTGCAGTTTCTGAAGATCTGAAACCAAGCCAAACAAGTAAATTCTGTTAAAGCTAATTTACATAAAGGTTCTATGTTCTACTGTCATTCAGTCACTTTTACTTTCATGTATATACATATATAGTTGTTTCACAGTACCTGCACAGGTGTCATTCCCAGCTCATGACCACCTCGACCTTGGGCTATCTTTGACAAGTCATTCACCAACCTTTCAAAGATGTTAGCAGCATTCAAGTCGCAATCGTAATTTACATAAATGTCGACTACACTTTGAGCATCTGTAAGTTTAATGAAGGTTAATTTAAATAATTAAAATATTGATATTAAATTGCTCAACATTAATCCCTGGAAAAGTAAGCAACTAAATATCATCATACCTGCACAGATTCTGGTCAGAGTCTGAATTACCATCCATTTGTGATCAAACGAACTTGTCGACGTTTCCAAAATATAAAGAAAGATTTCCTTGAAAAATACCTAATACAGCAGAAGGAAAATTTGAGCTTGTGATAGTATTAGTATTAACTCAAAGGGGGAAAGAAAAGAGAATGAAAAATTAAATAGCACCCCCAAAAAGGATACAACTTATTGCATTCAACTACTGAAGACAAAACTTGGGAACTAGACCAGTTAAAATTCCATCTTGCTAATGTAGGCTCCAATATATTTTTGAAAAGCTTGAGATACAGGATATTTATATATTGTCTTCTATTTCAATATCAGTAAACATAAGAGTTCGCTGAAGTCAAGTTGCTAGTCTACAAGGAGTTAAATTTGCATCAGAGAACTGCAGAACTTAATACATTACCTCTATCTGCATCTTAAGATGAGTCTTGAAGTTTGATAATAGAGTGAGGAAGATGGAAAGTGATAATTCAAACACTTCTGGCACTGAGGAGACACCATTTTTTGACAAAGCCACACAAAGGTACTGTTTTATTGCATTGATAAACATTTCATTAGTTCGAAAAATTGGTCCGGCATTTTGCAGAATTGATAGAAGAAGCTGTAGTGAAAGAATCTTGGAGCGTAATTCGTGAGACCTGTAATATTGGTAAAAAAGTGAAATTGAGAACGCTTTTCTTTTGGGAGGCACGGATCAAAACTGTAAATTTAATTAAGCAGGCATAAAATGACATATCTAATTTATCATTATTTTTAATGCACTTGATGTTTGAGAAAAGCAGCAGTTAATATCCTTCAACACGAAGCCAGAAAATAGTTGTCCTTTGCAGGTTTGTTCCAAAACAAGCCTGTAAACATCCTGTAGATTTCCATCCACCAACAACTCAATGCATAGAAACATTAAGTTTTCGCAGTCTCTGAGAACTACATTTTAAACCCACAGAGTAAATGCTCATATTTCATAACTTTAAAACTGACACCAAATTACAACTTAGATTTCTCTGCTCTAGTGAAAAAATGATTATTACTCGAAGGTTTTTACATCTTTGTGATACCCAAATGGTTTACAATAAGTGAATTAAATAGTCAAATGCTTAATCATCATTTCTTTGTATATAAATGCACTAGCTAATTTGGACCTGACTCCCACAAAAAAATGGAGATGAATGATTGGCTAATTAGTTTCAAATGTTTTTGGTTGAGGAAAAGTGTTGGCCAGGACACGTAAATAGAATGGAAGGATTCTTCTCTCATTAAACCTTGATAAATTTGCTTGATGAATTTAATGTTCCAAATAACTGAACCTTAAAAATGTAAGAAGTCCATCAGTACTTTGGAAAAAATGTGAGCCTAGTTCACAGCTAAAATTCTGACTCAGACAAGAATGCTACCATGAACTGGTACTGAGTTAACGATTTGCTCATAACCAGTTTCCTTGCTTCTGGATAGTAGGGCTGTGCTTTGAAAAGAGATTAGACAAGCCAGGTCTGTATTCTCTAGAGTTTTGAAGAGAGGTGATCTCACTGAAACCTACAAAATACTCAAAGGGATAGACAGGGTAGGTGCAAGTGAGATATTGCCACTGTTTGGAGAGACTAGAACAAGGGGCACAATTTAAAAATACGGAGTGGTGTCACTTAGGACTAAGATGAGGAGAATTCTTTTTTAAACTGAAAGTTGGGAATTCTCTACTCCAGAAGGCTATGGAAATTCGGTCTTTCAGTATGTTTAAATTGGAGGTTGATAGATTTATGATTACAATGGCATACAGTGTTATGGGGATCTTGTGGGTAAAAGGTATTGAAATGCTCAATTAGCCATGATCAGAATAAATGGTGGAACAGGCACAAGAGGCCTGTTTCCATTGTTAGCAGCATCCTGGTGAATCAATATTCATGAGGCATCCAAACTGTGCACTGTACTTTGTGATCTAGTTAATTTATGTGCAAACTTATTACTTCTTCACCCATCTAATTTGAGATGTTGAGGCGCTGGTGTTGGATAGGTGGTGAACAAGGTCAGAAGTCATATGCCACCAGGTTATAGACCAACAGGCTTATTTGAAATCACAAGCTTTTGAAGCGCTGCTCCTTCATCAGGTGACTTGCACATTCTCCCCATTGCTGGAGATTTGCTCTGGGTGCTCCAGGTCCCTCCCACAGTCCAAACGATGTGCAGGTTAGGTGGATTGGCCATGCTAAAAATTGCTCTGTAATGTCCGGGGATGGGTTAACCATGATATAAATCCTATGCAGGATTACCGGGATGGGGGGGCTCTAGGTGGGAGTTTCTTCAGAGGGTCCGTGCAGGCTTGATGGGCCAAATAGCTTCTTTCTATACTGTAGGCATTCTATGATTCTGTGAAAGAAGATATTGAGTACACGGAGATTGCAAACTAGGAAGAGGTAACACATAACAGATATAAACAAACAATTTAAAACAGATGTTTCAAGGTCCCAAAACCAATGTAGGGTGTCAATGGGACAACAGGATCTGATGTGAGATAGTGCAGGGATAGAAGAATGATTTCAGAACTTAGAGATTGGAGGACAGTATCGCACGTGCAGGAAGCCACCTTTCAGTCTATTGTGTCTGCACCAACTATCCAATGAGCATTATGACTTGTCATTCAACCGCCTTTCCCCACATCCATGGGAATTATTTCCAGTCAAATAATCATTTGATACCTTCTTGAATGTGTCAGTTAAGATGTGCTTCCACCACACTTTCTTGGCAGTACATTACAGACCCAAACCACTCATGGTGAAATGTTTCTTTTCTCACACTACGTTTGCTATGCTTGTAAATTACTTTAAATCGGTGCCTTCTTTGTCTCGATCCCTTTCTGTACAGGAACGGTTTCTCCCTAGCTGCACGGCATGTTTTATATGCAACCTCAGGTACCATTTTTTTTTCCAAGTTGATACACATATTTAGAAATAAGGTGAACAAAAATCAAGCCATAATGAAATCTTAGCTGGCTTTCATTGTATCGGATTTTGTGGCAGTTTCTTCAGCAGCCTAAACATGTGGCAGAATAAGGACAGAACAATGGCATCATAGAATATGAATGTTACCTGTGAACTTGAGGCCATCCAAAATGTTGCTATTATGTCCTAACTCTTTTTCACCCATGCTTAAGGAACTGTGCGATTTGTGTCTAACTGGAGTCTTGATTTTGAAATTATCACGGTTTTGAAATCTCTTAAGGCTTTGCCCCCTGATGCTTTATAATCTCTTCCAAATTTCTTGGCTCCTTTAGTTCTGACTCCTTGGGCACCATATTAGTAATTTCATAGTGTAAGGAGTTAAGTTTGACCATAATTGTTAATAAGACAGTACGAACCATCACAGGAAGTGATGCAATGTCACAAGATTTTGCTCTCTCGCAGTATCAAGGTGAGATGCTGACACATCAATATTTAAGTCACCATTAGGCAAGTTACTGGTACCGTTATCTCAATTGACTGTGTAAATGTTCCTTACCAGCACAACGTGACCCAGAATATTATACGTTGACTATCAGTGAAAGGACTATATGGAAAAGTTTCTGCAAATACCAGAAAGCTTTAAGCAGGCTGCTGGTCCTAATCTGAGGTTTGGCTGAATTAACACTGACAATTTGAAGTAGTAACAAAAACACATGACACATGCTTAACCAAGAAAAAGAATTCCGCTGATGATCAGGTTAAATTCAATAAGCAATGACAAGTGGCAACTATAGAACTGATCAGGAACAAAGCTACTGTTGGAGTTTAAGATGAAGCAGCATTTGACCATTTGCAGTAGAGGGATTGCTTAACATTAACAAAGGCAACTTATCTGAAAAGACAAATTGAGATCAGGAGGCAAAATTGCTTAATGATTCGGGGAGATGGGGAGAACTGTATCATAAAAACATGCTCCATTGAATCTTTTGGTTGAAGCTTAAAAGCAAAAAAGGTTGCTGCACAAAAACAAAGGCGGCAGGAAGAGTGTGTACCAACTGCTCCAGCTGTCATCAGTATGGTAGGAAAAACCAGATGCAAAAAATAATCTCGCAACAGAGATCAAGTGCCATTTTCACAAGGAGGACTACTTACAAGCCTTCTGTTACATCAAGAAGTTCGTATAGAACAGAAAAGAGAAGGCCTCAAAAGATGGTAAGGAGTATGAATTAGAATACATCACAACACAGTGGCTCAGTGGTTAGCACTGTTGCCTCACAGCACCAGGGATGTGGGTTCAATTCCACCCTTGGGCAATTGTCTGTGTGCAGTTTGCACATTCTTCCCACATCTGCTCCAATTTCCTCCCACAATCCAAAGATGTGCAGGAAAGGTAGACTGGCCATGCTAAATTGCCCATAGTGTCTAGGGATCTGCAGGCTTAGGTGGATAGGGTACAGGAATAGGTCTGGGTGGGATGCTCTTTGGAGGGTTGTATAGACTAGACGGGCTGAATGGTCTGCTTCCAAACTGTAGGCATTCTATATCTCTATGCGGAAATGTTTTTCCTTGGTAAGGACAAGTATCCAACCGGAAGCTAGGAGAGTGCTGATAGTTTAGTAGACGGAAACAAGATGTGCTTGAAGTTGAAGTTCTTAAACAAGTGCACCAGTTTTGGTTCTTTCTGACACTGAACCATTGTTTAGAGAAAAGTTCACTTCAACCATCATACACGGAACTACAGGACCAGGAGTTCTGAAGTCAAGGTCATCAGGCAATTAAATGCATGCCTTCAGAAGACACAGAGAGAAAACAAACTTTATATGGGATCCTCAACCAGAATTGTTTCTCTTAAGGTGCAACAGCCATATCAATTAACATCCGATTTGGAGAGCCAAACAGCTGGAAGGCAAGTAAACTCAGCCTAAAACTCTCATAGCTAAATTGCCACAGGTGTTCACAGGACTAGGAAAGCCAATGACAACATACCACACATCGTCCTAAGTCCTGAAGACGTTGGAGTATCTGTTTACACTGAGAAAGTTCCTCATTCACTCTAGCCAAAATCGATTATGTTGATGCAAGGAGATAGTTCATGTGTAACACAACCACCAAGTTTATGCTTAGGGATGGTCCCAATGCCAAAATCCAACAGAACTATCAGACTCTACGATCTTACATAGCTTGACAAAGCAAATGAACGCAAAATTCATTCTATGTTGTCTGTGGATGAGAGTTTTGCTAAATTGGACAAGAGTGTAAGCCTCATGAAGCTACATGCAAATCTTGTTTTTTGGTAATGACCCCTCAAAGAACCCAGGTTGCACATAACCTGCCAAACATTGCAATGAAGATTTTGTTTCAACAGATTCTGTTATAGTGCATCAGTCTTGGAAATCTTCCAGAAGACAATGCCAAGTATCTGAGAAAGACTGGATGGAGTCATCTGCTGTGTTCTCCTGGTCTTCTTTACAGCTGCGCGGAGCTCTGAGGTTTGTGCGTGTTGAAGTCAAAGTGCTGGCATGTTGGCTGACATGCATGGGACCTCCAAGCAATTACAGTTTTGAGGGAACACTGGTCATATATCAAATGGATGATGACCTGATTCCTGGTTCCAGTCAGACAGAACATGATGCTAGAATGTGAGCTGACCTGCAACATCTACAGGAAGCAACAATAACACAAAACAACAACTGCAAAGTCTAGCAGCT